GGCAGGCAGTACTATATTCAGTCTTCACCAGCACCACAGTTCAAAAGCATTGATTCAGCGAGCTCTGGTGGCCTAGTGGCAAGAAGCTGCACTGCAATCTTAGAAGTACGTGGTTCGAATCCACCAGATGCTCTGCTGGAGAAGGAGGAAAAATCTCCTCCTGTACTAGTCAGATCTGATTTGATGGTACACACACACAAAAGAATAAAAAAACAACAACAACACACACACATAAAAAAACCCCAACATTGATTCTTCTTGGGTCTATCTTATTAATTTTTCAACTTATCATGCATATGAAACAGTTGAAAATACTGTAACTTGGGTTAGGTGCACATTAGTTTCTAAAAGGGCATCCTTGCTCGTTAGCAATTTGAAGAGGTCCTTGACAGGACATTTGCCCAGCAAGACACCTTTTGATTTGACTGTTGCTACCATGGATATTGATTGAAGATCCAAGTAAAATTATACCATTGACAGTTTCAGTCTTTTTCCCCACCTATCATGATGTCACTTAATGATCCAGTAGTGATTTTTGTTTTTTTGATGTTGAGGTGTAATCTATATTGAAGGTTATATATATAGTCTTTGAACCCTCTTCAGTATTTCAAGTTTTCTTCACTCTCTATTTGCAGAGTTGGTTTTTATAGATTTTATTCTAAGTTTATAAAAAACTTAGATTTCCATTCATTCTTTGTTGCACATTTTCCTTCCTGCCCCTCTCCTGCTCAGTTTGCTATTTTCTTTGTAAACAAGTTTTTTCATTGTCCTCTTTATTATGCAGCTCTTATTCTGGACTCTTGTCATACCAATAATATTTAATCATATATTCCTTTTATACAGTTCTCTCCCTCATCTGTTTCAATGCCATATACATTATCCCCTCTTTTCTTAGTTTCTCCCCAACCCCCCTGTCAGTCCTGTTTTATAAGAGTGGCATTATACAGTATTTGTCTTTCTGTGACTGAGATATTTCACTCAGGATAATGTCCTCCATGGTAAGCCATTTTGTATAATATTTCTTGAGTTCTTTATTTTTCAGTGCTGCATAGTATTCCATTGTGTGAATAGACCACAGCTTCCCTATCCATTCGTTTGTTGATGGGCACTTGTGTTGTTTCCACAAAGTTTTATTATCAGCAAAACATAGGTTATTGAAGAGTCTTCTTCCAATCCCGAAGTCACATACATTCTTCTAATACTATCACATTCTTCTTCATATACTCCAGCTTCTCAGATTGTTGAGCATATAGATTCAATAGGTATGAGAAAGAATGCAACCCTGATACGTACATTTCTTATTTTAAACCATGCAGTATCCCTTACTCTATTAGAACAACTGTTTCTTTTTTAAAATTTATTAATTTTAATGAAAGTTTATAGAGACTTGGGATTTCCAGTCATTCATTGTTGCACTTTTCTCCCTGCCCACCCCCACCCCCCAGAAAACCTGTTTCTTGATCTACATATAACTTTTACATGAACACCCAATAAGTGTTCTGCAATTCCCATTCTTCTCAATGTTATCTCTAATTTCTTATAATCCACACAGCCAAATGTGTTTCTGTAGTTATTAACACAAGTAAACATTTTCCTGGTATTCTTGGTTTGAGCGGAGATCCACCTGACATCACTAATGACAAACGTTGTTCCATTGCCTGTTCTGAGACTAGATAGACTATCTGGCAGGTTCCTTGCCATGTGCTGCTTCAGCCAACTTGGAATAATCATCAGAATTTTTTTTTACTTGTGTGTGATATTTAATGATAATTTCTGCACTTTGTTGTGTCACCATTTTCTGACACAAGAACAAATAAAGTTCTCATGTAGTCATTTCTTCAGGTAGCTGTGTTCCTGTTTTCTTGGCATAGGATTGTGAATATGCCCACATGTGTAGCTGTTTGTCGAAATATTGCAATTGGTATTCCCTGAATTCCTGGGTTCTTGTTGTTTAGACAATGCTTTGATACTATAGGTATCTGAATTTAAAAATTAATTTTAGCACTGTAGTTAGAAAAATATAATTTCTATTTTTATGGCCTCTGTAAGAGAAATGCCCTACCTAGTCTTTGCCTTGCTTCTGACTAGCATTTTATCCTCTTGTGATTGTATTTTATTCAGACTATTTTGTTTCCTTTTACTTTATGGGAAGATTTTCTGATTGACGCCAAGCAAGGTGCCTGAAAGGTTAGGGTGTACTAGCTGCTCTTTGCAGGACAGTTAGCAGTCCACCTCTGCAATGAAACAGGAGCCTCAAGAATCCTAGGAGCCAAAACCCACTAGCAGCAGTGAGTTTAAGATGTTCTTCTTTGAACCACTGCTCTAAACTTTAGTTTATTTCTGTGCTGATCAAGAATCTAGGTGCTTAAGAGTTGGAAACAACCCAAGTGCCCATAAACAAACAAGTGGATAGAGAAGTTGTAGTATATTCACACAATGGAATACTATGCTGCATTGAAAAACAAGGAATTCATGAACTATGGTACAAAACAGGTAACCTTGGAGGACATTATGCTAAGTGAAATATCTCAGTCACAAAGGGACAAATACTGCATAATGCCACTATTATAAAGCAGGACTGACATTGGTGTTGTGTTGAAACTAAAAGGCGATAAATTATGTATACTGCATTGAAACAGGTGAGGGAGAGAACTGTTCAAAAGGGATATATGATTGGTATTATTGTCATGACAAGACTCCAGAATGAGAGCTGCATGGTGGAGTGGACTCGGGGGAGGAGGGTGTATAATGTGGGTTTTTTTTTACTTTTCAAAGAAAAAAAACCAACTGGGGGAAGGGGTAGGCAGGGAGCAAAATGTGCAACAATGAATGAATGAAAATTCAAAGTCTCTATAAACTTTCATTAAAATTTCAGTTAAAAAAAAGAAAAAAAAAAGAATCTAGGTGCTTGACTTCTGGACTTCAGTATGCATGTATGTGGTGGTATTAGCAGTTTTCCTGCTGTGACCTGTTCCCTATGTTTTGCCCTGTCAGTTTGAAACATGTCCCTAGTTCTGCTCCCTTTGGGGTTCTGCCTAATCCAAGTGACTGTCTATGTCAGGAATCTACAAGATTTACCCTGTCTTGCCAAACCAATTACATGAGAGCTATCAAGCTTCCATAGCTACTTATGCTCCACTGGACAAAATTAGGTCACAACTTTCTCAGATTAGTGTCTTTTGTGGTTTTTTAAAAATTCATTTTAATGAAAGTTTACAGACTTTGGATTTCCATTCATTCATTGTTGCAATTTTCTCCCTGCCCACCTCTCCCCCCAAGTCCACTCCACTATGCAGCTTTCATTCTGGACTCCTGTCATGACAGTAATACCTACTCATACATCCCTTTTTTTTTTTCATACATCCCTTTTACTCATACATCTCATCCTCATCTGTTTCAGTGCAGTATACATAATTTATCCCATCTTTCTCATTGTCTCCCAACCCCAATGTCAGTCCTGTTTTACAACAGTGGCAATATGCAGTATTTGTCCTTTTGTAACTGAGATATTTCAGTCAGCATGTCTTCCAGGATCACCCATTTTGTATAATATTTCACGAGTTCCTTGTTTTTCAATGCAGCATAGTATTCCATTGTATGAATATACCACAGCTTCTCTATCCATTGGTTTGTTGTTGGGCACTTAGGTTGTTTCCAGCTCTTTGCTATTGTGAACAAAGCCTCAATAAACATGGGTGGGCATATATCTGCTTGGGTGGCAGTTGTGGTTTCTTTGGGGTATATTCCAAGTAGTGGAAATGCTGGGTCAAATGGTATTTCTTTTTTTTTAATTTTTATTTTTTTTAAAATTTTTAAAATTTTTATTATTTTTGTATGCGTGTACCGTCAAATCAGATCTGACTGGTACAGGAGGAGATTGTCCCTCCTTCCCCGGCAGAGCATCTGGTGGATTTGAACCGTTCGCCTCTGGAATTATAGTTGCAGCTCCTTGCCACTAGGCCACCAGAGCTCCCCTCAAATGTTTTTGAGAAAGCGCCATACTGCCTTCCATAGTGGTCACACCATTTTACACTCCCACCAACAGTGAATAAAAGTTCCAGTTTCTCCACAACCTCACCAGCATTTGTTGTTTGCTGTTCTGTTAAATTTTGCTGTTGTTACTGGTGTGGGATGATATCTCATAGTTGTTTTAATTTGCGTCTCTCTTAGAGCTAGGGATTTTGAACATTTATTCATGTGTTTGTTTGCCATCTGTCTTCTTTGGTGAAGTGTCTGTTCATATTCTGTGCCTATTTTTCAGTTGGGTTGTTTACCTTTATCTTGTGGTGGTGTATATTTGTTTTGGGTTTTTTTAAAAATTTTATTATTTTGTGTGTACCGTCAAATCAGATCTGACTGGGACAGGAGGAGATTGTCCCTCTTTCTCCAGCAGAGCATCGGGAGGACTCGAACCGCACACTTCTGGGATTGCAGCTTCTTGCCAGTAGGCCACCAGAGCTCCCTTGTATGTTTTTGAGTGGTGGTCAGCCCCTTCTAAAATGGTTGTGGGTGGGTGAGTGCTCTTGATATTGGTGGGTAGGTTCTTCCAGCTTCTGTGCTAGACTCCTTTTTCTGGCTTCTGGACTCTTTGTTACCTTCTGTTATCATCTGGGATTCTGAGATCTCAGACTGATTGTTTTTTTTTTAATTTGTTGTTAGTTGCTTGGCAAAGTAACGGGGAGCCTTCCCTCACACTGCCATCTTCTCTTGTGCTCCTCCTGTCTACGTTTTATTTTAGTTTTAAAATAAGAGCATATATTAATAGAGTTCAGGAGTTTCAGGGAGCCTTCATCGACATCCATGTAGAAATTACCGATGTTATGTGGTACTTGGGAAAGCAGAACACAGAAAAGCTGCTTCATATTTTCTATTCTAATTTGAGAGCTAGCTGCAAAGGGCTGATCGTATAAAAACCCAGCTATAGTAGTCAGAATTTCACAGAATTTTAAAACTTGACGTCAGTATGAGATTTTAATAAACTTCTCTTATTTTAAATTTAGATATCTTCTATAGGATTCACTCTGGCTGATAAAGTGGATGGCCCGTTCTTCCTGGAAATAGACTTTATTGGAGTATTTACCGATCCAGCCCACAGAGAAGAATTTGCCTATGAAAATTCTCCATATCTGAACCCACGACTTTTTAAATAGAGATCATGTGACAACTTGTATTACCAAAGGCAATAGTATTCATAATGTCAGATGAAATAAAGTATTCTTTGATAGTGTCCAACTAATCACTGGTATGTATTTTCAAAGATAAGGCTAAAAACACAATTGTTAAGAGGGCCTAGGTCAGGGGATACTTCAAGAAACCTCTGCTCTGTGACTTAGTGCACAGGATGCAATGAAGTGGGATAATGTCAACAACAGTTTTTATGTGAGAATTACTCAGACTTCTCTATTGATCTGATCTCTGTCTTTTGAGAAGTAAATCTGAATTTACCAGTAAGCATCACTAAGTATAAAAAATGTGACAAGTGCTAAGTGAATACAAATGAGGGACTCATTCACTTCTTTGTGTGTGGGAATGGTGATCAAGAAAAGGATTGGACAGGGAGCTCTGGCAGTCTAATGGCTAGAAGCTGTGCTGCAATCCCGAAGGTGCGTGGTTTGAATCTATCAGATGCTCTGCTGGAGAGAGGGGCAATCTCCTCCTGTTCCAGTTGGATCCCATTTGACAGTAGAAAACAACAAAAAATTGGTAAATGTAAACTGTTACTTAGCTAGCCAGTTAAACCTGTGAGGTCATTATGTTTACAAAGAATACATTTACCTTAATGAGAAAAAGTTTTATTTGTGAAGATCTTATGCCGTCCAAAACCCAAAAGCAATAAACATACCAAATTAAGCAACTTTAGTCTTTGCTATAAACTGAATATGATACTAGCTTGTCAGAACAATAGTCCTTACAGTAGTAATCTTCAAATTTCCATGTAGTCCTAACTATTTTATTTTTAAGTAAGCTTGGAAGGAGTTGCAGTTTTGTTTTTAAGAATGACTGACAGATGGCAGATATATAAAGTAATCTGAATAAAGGTACTTAAACTTAAAAATATTTTTTGCATAGGTAAAACATTATGCTATAACTAAATATGTACCCACAATTTCATTAAGATTACTGGATTCTCTGTACTAAGGGATGATGATCTTTCTGTCCCAGCTTCCTTAGTTCTTACTATGTTATTTTCCGCTTTATCAAGAAACAATCTTCAGAGATGCAGGAGATAGACTACAGACATTACATATGTACAGTGAAGAGTAGAAAACATTTTGATGAAAGTGAGGAAGACAGTATAAAAGTATTTACAAAAGCAAAGAGAAAGTTTCACACTAACTGAATATTTATAGAAAGAGCTTATTAATTTGCTGCTATATTAAAGCCTCTTCGAGCTTCCAAAACCTTTTCTTTCTTCTCCTTTCGTTCTTGCTCATGTTTCTTCCGTTTTTCTTCCCTAAGAGTGACAGGTTACATGTTAAGCTTTGGTTAAGCAACTCAACAGACACTTTAATACAACTATTGCTGGGCCAGTAATGACATTGAGCACACTGTGTAGAACACTCACAGGAAGATAGAGCCACACTATTAAGTCATTGTGTTAAAGGCCTAGGAACTGGTTTTTTATGTGTTAACCTAATGTTCTGAAAATTAAACAGGAATTGGAACAAGAAGGCATCATGGTAATTTAATCCAAATCCTATATGTTTTGTGTTTTAAATGAGAAATATCTACCCCTTGATGTTTAAACAGTTAAAAATTACAGTGAGGCAGTGAATGTTCTAGGGAGTACCGGTGGTGTTGTCTATGGAGAACTGTGCTTCTAACCCAAAGGTGGCACCTCTCTGGCAATTCAAATCTGTCAGCTGTTCCACAGGAGAAAGATAGGCAGCCACCTCCCATGCAGTTTATGACTCCACAATACCCACCCACTGTAGGGTCAGATAAGAGCTGGTTCTGACTTAGCAGAGAGAGTGCTTGTTTTCCTTCTGTAAGCAAGTTCTACTGGCTCAAAGCTACCATATTGTTTCGAGGGGCCTAACAAAACCCCAGGATAATAAATACAGTAGTAATAATGTCTTGATAGAAGCTGGAGAATATGCAAGAGACATATGACGAGTAACCTAGATGGGCAGCCTGGACTCAACCAAGACCAGCTGCAGCTCAGGACTGGTTATGGCTCTAATCTGGTTTTCATGCTGCTGGAAGCATCTAAGGACCTTCTGGTATTTTCCCTCATGTAAGGACAGGGCTTTGAACCAGTTCATCCCAGTTCACTCGAAGCTGACAAATTGAAACCAGAATGGCTCCAATCTTGTAAAAATGTGGATGAATTAGAAAAACAATAGATAGAAACAATCTCCATCTTAGAAAACAAGGGCAGAGTAGATAGACAAGGCATAGCAATCACATCTCTTTACTGGCAGAGGTGGAATCAATGGTGCCTGGTTATATGTGGTAGTTGACTGTGCTCCTTGAAATGTACATTGGTCTCTACAACGTCGCATCAGGTGTCTGAAAAGAACTCATTCTGCCTCTTCTGAGTCTTCTCTTCGAGGGCTTTGACCTGGAATTTTTCTAGTTATGACTAGCTATCCTATATCACTTAGATTTTAAGAATTCAAGTCTGTTCAGAGTTTTCTATCATCAGCTATGCCTGAACCAGTATGAATTGGCCAAATCTTAGCATAAGACTGGTTTCCTTGGGTGAGAGATGTTTATCCTCCTGGTTGTGTTACTATGTGATATATATAAATGGTTAAGCACTCAGTGGCTAGTGGTCCAGCACCATGGACCAGTGCCTCAGAATCAAGGTCTAATAACTTATTTCTGAAAAATCAGCCACTGAAAAACTATGGAGGCAAAGTGGCACTCTGACACATGAGTCACCATGAGTCAGAATTGAAATCTTTTGAGCACTCGCGTGGATGATTTTTGTGTTAATAGGTTATGCAATGCTCTGAATACCAGTCTTCCAAATCATCTATGAAGGTCTGAAAACAACACAAGAGTTTTGAGCTTCATTGAAATCTATTCAAAGAATTCATTGTGGAGGCCCTAAATTCATTGCCATCAAATTGGAACTGACTCAGCCAACTCTCCAGTTTTTGGATGCAAAGAGACTGCCCAGCTTTCTTCCAAGGAGTCGCTGGCAGAAAACTGCCAAAGAGCTGCTCCCTTTATGTTGACATCATGATTTCCCAGGGACCATACAACTAGAGCCCTCCTATGGAGAGCATAGGCACTCCCAATTTTAGAATGTCAGGTAGTGATTCTGTGCTAACCTCTTGATAAAAATCAGTGTTAAGTCTCAGAGGTTCTACTTTTTTTATATAGTCTTTCAAAATGTAATTAGACTAATCCTTTTAGATAATTATGAACTCACCTGGTCTGGAGATGGGGTTGTTTATATGTTTTCTTATGGAAGCTCACTCTAGTTACATATTCATTCAGAGAATTATTTTCCTTTGATTGTCCCCATGGTTTCAGCTTTCCTAGTTTAGGACAGAGACAAAGAGATTTAAGATTTTTATATTTGTGTTCCAACATTATTTTCTTCATTTGTGGCTACTTACTTACTATTAGCATTTATAGATACTTTTCAGTTATTCTGGCTTTTTTTTCCTTTAAAAATAAAAATGTGTTCTATTTTCAAATCCTTGCGAAGTTAAAAAGAAATTAATATTGCATCCAACCACATAGGTCACTTTTATAAGCTGTTTTATCCAAGTGTTTTACCCTGAGATTACAAAGATAGGTTTACTATTATTACAAAGATATTTTTAATATTAAAGTATTTAATCTATAGAAGTTGCCGCTAATGTTGACATACTTAGTTTGCTGTTAATCTACTGAAAAAATTTGAAATGGAATGAAAGTAGGAATATGATGTTGGTTTTAGAACTAGGATCAAATTTCCAGTAAAAATTTTTATATAATTATATATGTTATTATGACACATTTCCAAAGACAATTTTCTATTTAATAGTGTTTATAATTTTATTTGATCCTTTCAATAATCTCTGAAATTAGTACAACTTATTTATTCCTGTAACGTAAGAAGGATTAATTAAGTCCCGAACATAAAAACAATAGGAAGCACAGAGGAAGTTTTTTCATCCAAATTTTCTATTATCAGTTGAAGTAAGTGGTAGTTTGAGTCCTTCAGTTATTGTAGATCCTGGCCCCACAGCAAGAAACCAAACCAGCCGAAACCCCTGCCCTGTGGGCTTTACATCCCAGGGGAAGAGACAGATAATAACATATTAGCAGTTCACTAAGTGCTATGAAGAAATAAAAAAGTGATAAGGAGAGGAAACTGAGCACTGAATGACTATCCCAATAAAGGATGAGGGCAATCTGTGTCAGAGTCTGATTGAAGTATATTCTACTCTTCTGACTGAGGAGTGCAAAGCATGGTGTTTTTCCTGAAAATACCAGTGAGGGTGGAGCATGGGAAAGGGAGGCAGTAAAGTGAGGGTGAGGCAAGAGATGGGAAATCTCCTGAGGTTCTGAGCCGAGAGGTAATTGTTTTGATTTTCTTTTTTTTTAATTATGGGACACAGAGACTGTCACTGACACCAAGGTAAGATATAATGGTGAGCTAGGTCAAAAAAGGTTGCAATAAAGAAGTGAAAGTGATCAATTTAAAGATCTGTTTCAAAAGTGGTGTTGAAAGGACTGGTGTAGAAAGGATGTGTGGATTTGAGGTCTGGAAGAATGTGAGGAGCAAAGGATGACTTCGAGATTTTTGTCCAGAACAACCAGGTAGCTAGATGTGCCACTGCCAGAGATGGAAAGACTTGGTGAGATAGAGTAGGAGGTAGCAGGGGAAGGAGACACTTCTTTTTAATGATAGTTTAACTGAATTTTACTTCTAAATAACTCAGATTTACGTTTCACTAAAATTAGAAACTTAACACTTACATAAAGTAAATCCATTAGGAAGTTTCTTATTTTAGAGTCATTTCAGAAGCACTGGAAGATAGTTGCTGTTATGTGCTGTCGAGTTGCCTGTGACTCATAGTGACCCTATGTACAACAGCCCAAAACCATGCTCTATCCTGTGCCAATCTCACTGTCTCTGACACACCTACCCCCCATTACCCCAGTGACTGAATCAATCCACCTCATAGAGGGTCTTTCTCTCCTGTACTGTCCTTCCACCCTCCCAAGCATGACGTCCTTCTCCAAGGACTGGTCCCTTCTTGCAACATGTCCAAAGTATGTCAGACAGAGCTTCAGAATCCTTGTCTCCAAGGAGCAGCCTATTTTTACCCTTTCCAGGACAAACCTATTTGTTCTCCCAGCAGTCCATGGTATATTCAATACTCTTCTCCAACACCACAGCTCAAAGGCATCAATTCTCCTATCCTCCCTAGTCATTGTCTAGCTCTCTGACACATATCAAAAGATTGCAAAGACCATGGCCTGTATCAGGCACATCTTAGTCTCCAGAGTGACACCATTGCTCTTCAGGACTTTGGAGAGGTCCCTAACAGCAGACTTTCCCATCGCAATATGTCTTAATTTCCTGGCTGCTGGTGCCAAGAGTGTTGACTTTGGAGCCAAATAAATTAAAGCTGTGAACAATTAATCTCTTCACCATCCATCTTGATGCTGCCAGTTGACCCAGTGGTGAGAATCTTTGTCTTCTTAACACTGAGCCTCAATCCATATTGAAGGCTGCGGTTCTTGAACTTCTGCTGCAAGCTCTTTAGGTCCTTTTCAGGACCTGTAGATAGAGTACATTAATTCACTTAATTCGTTACTGTTGAGTCAGAAGCAACTCATAGTTGACCCTCCAACAGCTTTTTAGAGGCTGTACATCATTGTTGATGGATTTGAAACACCAAAGGCATCACTATTGGGTTGGCAGTGCAACTTCCCTGGGATAATGCCACCAGAGCTGCCTACTAATAATTTAAGTGGATTTATAAAGTCACTTTAATATGTTGCTCAAGAGCAACAATAGGCCAGTAAAAATGTACCAGGTTGTTGCACTGGTAGTGCCCAGAGTGGGACTTTTAAAACTATATAGCAAGCATCCATTTACAAACAAGAGCTGCACAGGTTAACTTACAAGTTTCTTTTTTTTTCTTTCTTTTGTTCTGTTTTTTTTAGAAAGGATTTTTATACTATAGTAAAAAAACACAAAAAGGAATCAACATGTATCTTAGAAGTACTCCCAAGCATCTCAGATCCCAAACAGCCGTGAGGTTGATGCCTTTGTTCTTTACGCTCAGCTTGCAGCTCATTTAAGATTAGAGATGACTTGTGTTCTAAGATTTGAAAATCAAATTTGATCTGCAGAAAACAAGACCCTGTATTTATCCAAACTGTAGAAACATGATTTCACCACCCGTCCACCAAAATACTTCCATTCAGATCAACAACAGCTTTAATTGCTGATTCACCCCTCTTAAATTCTAAAAGTATCTGTGCTACTTCATCATCTGGAGCACCAGGAATTTCAAATATTACGCATTTTCCAGCTTTGCCATATTTTTCATATTCTTCCTTGGTTTCAACTTCTAAGTCTTCATCTACCTCCCCTGCACCAACCATGTTCCTTAGTATTTCACTTAATGGCACTTAAGTATTTCAGTTAATGGATTTGAATCCAATTTCTTGGTTGCATCTTTGTAGCATCACAAACAATGATCTTGCCTCCACGCTTGCTTGTTTTCTCTCCTGACAATGCAGTGCTCAGCCCCTGTTCATGTTTCCCCAGACCTTGGCCTTCCCAGAAGCCATCCTTCTGCTTGATCTTATGTGCTCCTGTGCCACCCATGTTAGCAAGGAAGGAGTTGCTGGGCCCGGTTGGTGATCTTGGCCTTTCCTATTCATATAGTGGGGGAGGAAAAGCAGCTTTGGAAGACTGTGATCAAGGTCTTGAATCCTCTTCATAGTGAAAATTTCGAGGTAACTCTGTCTTTTTCTACGAGAGAAGTAGGTAGTGCAATAGCAGCTCTACCAATACTTCTTTTCCTCCTGTCTTGCTCATAATCTTCATCATAATCAGAATCTAGTCACCTTAAAAATCCACTAGCTTCATGTCTGTCTTATGCCTCTTTTCTCCTATTTCTTTTTGTCTTTCCTTTTTTCTTTGTTTTTCTTCTCTTTGGTGTTTTACTACTTTCTCATAATTAGGAAACATAGGATCATATTCATCAGCTAAGGGAATAAAAACTTTTCCTGCAGAAAATCCACAGGGAACAGGATCCTTTAGCCCAGCTGCTACATGAGGCCGGGTATGCACAATGTGCCAGTCATCTGATGAACTGCCTCGTTTTAGGTCAATTACTGGGACAAGCACTGTACTTTGTTTAGTCCTTTGACTCTGCTTGAGTGAGAGCAGCCTTCTTCACCTGAAGCTGAGACTGAAAAAGTTTGAAATTTTTGGACCAGCCTTCTGTTTCTGCATCACTGGTCTCTACTCCCAGGTCATCATACAGGGACATCTTCTTTTCCATTTAATGCCTGCCGGCCTGACCACATTTCTTCATGGACTGGAGTGGCGGCAGCTCAGAGCCACAAGTTTCAAGTTTCTTGATTTTGGTTCACATTTTATTATTTTTTTGTGTGGTGATACTGGTTAATACTGATGAATAAAATGTAAGTGAATAAATTCCTTAATACTTGGTTGCTTAACAGACATTCTTTTCAATCTTAGGTTTGTGTGTGTGGAAACAAGGGCTATGGTTCCAAGTCATCAATCATGACTTGTACTGAGGCATTAGACATTTTTTCATATCCTTAAATGCAGAATTGTTTAAGTCTTTTGTATACTCTGTACCTTACAACAACCCCAACATACCTCTGTGTGGCTCATAGGTGAGGGGACGAGACAAACTTGCTTTGAGATCAAACACTGGCTTTTTATTGGAGACAGGAGTCTCCACTGTCAGCTTGAAGGGGGTGATAACTATAAAAAAAAAACCCTTTGTTAGGAAAAAAGACCTGCTAATTCTTACCAAAGCATCACTTCTGAGTATATAAATAGTGTGAAACCGATATGGGTTAAAAGGAATGAGAAAAGTTCCCCAAATATTCTGGATGCTATGCCATTTCCTAGAACCTTCTAGGAGTTTAGAATCCTATGGAAACTAGTAACTAAATTTTAAGATTCTTTTTTTTCTCTCTAATATGAAACGCTTCATGAATTTTACTGTTATCCTTGTGCAGGGGCCATGCTAATCTTCTCTGTATTGTTCCAATTTTAGTATATGTGCTGAAGTGAGCACTTTTGAGATTATTCTTATATCTCTTTGCTATGTGTGTGTATTTAAATATTATATAATATATATTTCATATATATATTTAATATTTTTATTAACACAAATATAAAGCCTTATCACAATTTATAAATTAAGAGATTTATGGCTGTAGTTGTTAATCTAAAAAGCTTTAATTATGGGGGGGATTCCAGACCAATGAAGGAATTTTTCTTTTCCTTTTCAAAGGGAAGAGTGAACTGGGGGCTGGGGGGCAGTAGGCAGGGAGAAAAAAAATGCAACAATGAATGAATGGAAATTCAAAATCTCTGTAAATGTTCATTAAAATTCATAAAAATTTAAAAAAAAATTTGATTTCTTTGATAGAGTCAGAACCAACACTTAGCACACCCTCGTTCACTTTTTGAGACTGTAAATCAAAACGGAGGAGGCTGTCCATCCGAGCTACTGCTGGATTTAAACGGCCAGAGGGGCACAGCTTTTCGGTTAGCAGAAGACCAGAGCTCCCTTTACCAATAAAGGTCATTGTCATTCAAGGAAATCAATCTTTTTTACTGTAAAGTTAAAAACATGCCCTGATGGAATCTAATAAATCTTTTAACTAATGTTGGGCAAAAAAGTCTTTTTTGCTAGAGCTTGCTGAATGAACATCTGACATATTTTATAATCCTTTCCCTTCAATGGAAAAGCCACTTAGGTGCACCCAGATCCCGTCAGTGTCAACACTTGCCTATATTTGTGAATAGGCAACGAGGAGCTAGGACCACCTAGTTAAACCAAACCTCAGTGTTGAAGCTATTCCACTGTGTCAATACCAAGTGTCAGCAGAGAGTAGAAGAATAGGATCTCATACACAGGTGGTGAAAGCGTATTTGGTACAATTCAACCAGTAAAGTTCCATGTGTGTGGGCCCTCTGATGGAGCAGCTCCACTTCTAGGCCTGGAGACTTGTGCACTGCACAGGGGACGTGTAATAAAATGTTCACGGATACACTGTAATAACAGAAATTTCATACATTTCCATGAGGAGTAAAATGGATAAATACACGTAAGAAATGAATTGTAGCTCATTTATAAACATGAAGGAACCTCAGAGGGTTATGCTGAGTGAAGCAAATCACACACAAAAATCCTATAACTTTCATTTATATAAGATTAACATAAAAAAAAAAGATTAACATAAAATAACTGGGAATGGGGTGGATTCCTTAGAGGAGGCCCAGGAGGAGGCACACATTCAGTCTTTGAATCCCACCCTGTGGGACGATGTCAGAGCCCTTCCTTGCTGTTGGGTGGGTGGCTGCTGCTCACTATGGAACGTCCTAGCTAAGGTGAGTTCACCTTCCATCAGTGGGCACCACACCCTGACCAAGCTCTTTTCTTCCCTGTAGTAGCGTATGGGGAGGAAGTTTACTGTTCTCTGTTGAGACTCTCTCTTGCTGGTTAGTTGTCTAATTACTTGGTCTAATGCTAATCTTCAAAACCAAAATTTCTCATTGCTGTGCAGTTGGAACCGACTCATGCCTGACCCTCCAGAGAGTTTTCAGAGGCTGTAGGTCACATCAGGAGGATTTGAACTGCCTGCTTTAGGGTTGGTAGTGCAACTCCTTACCCATTAGGCCTCCAGATTTCCCTAATGCTGATCTTTAAGGCATGAACAAAGCCTCACAGGTAGTCTCCAAATGGATTATCACAATACTACTCTCCTTTTGTCTGAAGTTCCTGCTGGATTCCTCTAAGCTTAGGGAATCTGAGTAATCAAGGCTTTTTAACTGTAGCACCCATGAAAGGATTCCTGGGAGAATCATGACATTCAGGTCTGTATAGGCCTCAAGGTGTGCTGGTCATGTTTTAAACCCTCTCATTGCTTCGACAGTGTTCTCATGGAACACATTTTCTTGCACATTAGCTGTAGGTGCTAAAAAAGGAGACAGAAGAGTATCTCCATGGCTTATTCTGGTTTGCACAACCTGTTACCAATTAGCATCTATTACTATCTCAGTGGTCGGGTTCTGCTACTTTCCAAGTCCTGTAGATCATTAGGCTAGCTGTCTAACCCTCAGTCTAATTCCCAAGCCCTAGAAGGAACTGCTCTTTGAGACAGTTAGCACTTTAACACCTCTTTTGGGGAGGAGAGAGACCCTCAGGCAGATTTCAGTTTCTTGCTTGGGTCTCTGATCTTTTCCCCTGTTAATATAAAGTGAGAAATAGTCTGTAGTAAACTTTTTACTTCTATAGATCTAAAAAGTCTTTATGGAAACAGATACACTTAATAATTTCAAGAAGTTACATGGATTAATGATGAATCAAGAATGTTTTACCCGAAGCCGGATCAGTGGTGTTCAACTTGTGTGTGCTGAGCACAGCCGGGCTTTTTGGAGTACTCCTGGACAGGCTCATATGTGGAGACTTCCTGGCTGGGGTCTTGGTCAGTGAGCGTTTATGCTCATTATCTTTGGTAGCTGCTGAAAACCTAGACAGGACAGGAGAATGTGAGACATTAAGTACTCGTGTCAAGCTTACCCTATAGACAAAACCACCTGACAAGGCCATTAAAGGGCTTCAATAAATACTTCTGACATGAATGAACCTCTTTTACAGCAAAGACATGTCCTTAAAACACAGATGCTAAAGTAAATTTATCATTATTTGTGAAATAATAATCTTGTACTTTCTCTACTACCCAGTCTGGCCTATGACAATACAAAGCTATTCCTGGTGATAAGTCAAAGGGAATGGGAAACTGCAGTGTCAGCTGACTGATGGGTACAGATATCACACCTGCCTAAAAGAATGTCTTTCATTTGAATAGAACACATCACAAGCTCATTCTGTACTTAGGGCAGATGGTCATATATTTATTTCACTGACTCTGATGTATATGTTCCTTATATCTCTGAAGTGAGATGTGTTTTGCAATGGGTAGCATGTCACAGTTAATTGGCAATATTTTCCTTAAAGCAAAATCAGACCCATTCCCATCGTGTCAGTTCTGGCTCACATGGACCCTCACATACCAAGGCCGTTGATTGCCTCATCTTCACTCTCGGAGTGGCTGGTGTATTCAAACTGCCTATCTTCTGGTTAATAGTCCATCACATAATACAATATGCCACCAGGACTATTTTAGGCTATTTTCTTAGGGCTGTATCCTTTTCCCATACCTATTCAATCTGTATGCTGAACAAATTGTTCAAGAATATAGACTATATGATGAAGAATGTAGCTGATGCCATATTGGAGGATTAGAGGAAGACTCATCAGCAATCTGGATTATGCAGATGATATAACCTTACTTGCAGAAAGTGAACTAATCTTAAAACACTTGCTGCAGAAGGTCCAATACATTATGAAATAGAAATCATTATCAAGAAAACAAAAGTCCTCATCCCCAGGCCAACAGGCAATGTCATGATAGCTGGAGAAAAGACTGACTTCGTCAGCAATTTCATCTTACTTACATCCACAATCAACACTCGTGGTACCAGCAGTCAAGAAATCAAAAGATACATTGCAATGGGAAAATCTGCTGTCAAGAACAGTGCCATAGTGATAAAAAGCAATGATGTCAGTTTAAAAACTAAGATGTGCCTGATCCAAGTTATCTTTTTGATTACTTGCTAGACATCTTAAAGTTGGACACTGACTAAGGATGACAGAAGAATCCTAAGTGTCTTTGAGTAGTGGTGGTGGAGAAAAATATCAAATATCCTGTGGAGTGCCAAGAAAGCAAACAGGTCTGTCTGGGAAAAAAATAACAACAACAAAACCAAATAAAACCCAGTTCTTTCTTGGAGAAAGTGCAACTAGGTGCACCTTGGAGGCATGGACGGTGAAGCTCTTCACCTCATAGACTTTGTGTTGTTAGGAGGAATCGGTGATTGGAAAAGAACATCATGCTTGGAATGGTAGAGGGTCAGTAAACAAAGACCCTCAAAAAGATGGATTGATACAGTGACTGTAACAAAGGGGAAAAGTATATAAAAAGTGATGAGGATGACACAGAATAGGGCAAGGGTCAGATCTATTTATTGTTCATAGAGTTTCTAGGAGTCAATAGATTAACAGCACATAGAACAATAACAATTGATAGGCCAAAAATACACATAAAGTTGGGAATAGGAGTTAACAGAAAGCCACTTTATTATCCTTAATAATTAAAGATTTCATGGTGGATTCTGAATTAACACTCAAATTCTTACTGTTAGCTCTGTTAGAGCTAAGAAAATGAAATGTGTCAGAATATAAATGAATATAAATCTATGCTCTGGATGTTGCAAGGAAGCAACGACTGGCCCCTTGAACACCGTTCTTAAACAGCATTCAAGAACATGAGCCTTAGGAGAACTCTGGTAGGTGGTTCAAAAACACCAGATGCTCTGCAGTAGGAGGGGCAATCTCCTGCTAATTCAGTAAGTACAACTCCAAACTTCTATGATTTCACACTGTTGGAGAAGTGTTAACATGTATCAGATCTATTAGATCTAATTATAGTATGGTAAGATTGGTTGCAACAATAAAAAGGGTACTTTGTATTGATACTGTGTACTGCATTCACAGGATTTTTTAGGACTTTAGCTTCAATTCTGATTTCACATGATTGAAAAAAAGATTACAACCTATTTTCAGGTATACATAAAATTAAAAATATCCATATACTAAATATATTTTATTTTTTATCTTTGATCTATATTTATGATCCTTTCCCCCCCTTTTTCATCATCAATAAAATTTATTTGATGTAAGCCACTTGAAATGTCCTTTTTAAAAAGTATCTTTTTCATTGTTGTTGGGTTTTTAAATTTTTTTTATTATTTCAATAAAAATTTACAGACTTTGGATTTCCATTCATTCATTGTTGCACTTTTCTCCCTGCCCCCACACCCCAGTACACTCTTCTCTTTGAAAAGTAAAATAAAAATTCTTTCATTGTTTTACAATCCCTCCCCCCAGGTCCACTTCACTATGCAGCCTTCGTTCCGGACTCCTGTCATGACAAAAATACCTGATCACATATCCCCGCTAAACAGTTCTCTCCCTCATCTGATTCAATGCAGTATACATTATTGAACCCATTTTTCTCAGTCTCCCCACAACCCAGTTGTCAGTCCTGTTTTACAACAGTAGCACCATGCAGCATTTGTCCTTTTGTGACTGAGATATTTCACTCAGCATAATGTCCTCCAGGGTCACCCATTTTGAATAATATTGCATGAGTTCCTTGTTTTTCAATGCAGCATAGTATTCCATTGTGTGAATATACCATAGCTTCTCTATCCATTCGTTTGTTGATGGGCACTTAGGTTGTTTCCAACTCCTTGCTATTGTGAACAAAGCCAGATAAATATGGGTGTGCATAAGAAATATCTTAAGAACACTAAGCCTTTGAAAGATCCCCCCCCAATTACATTTGGAGCGACATTTTTACCTGACATTCATTTTTGTTGCTGAGACAGCAGAGGTCTTGACTGACCGCTTCGGACACAGAATGCTCTGTCTCGCAGTGCCCTGAACCCAGCACTGCTGACTGCTGGGAGTGTGAGCGACGGATGGCCTTTTTCTGAGAGGCACTGGAGTCATCATCACTGGAGTCAGGACCATTTTCTTGTGAGCAGGCTGCTTCTGAAGAGGGTGAAAAGCACCTTTTATTAAAAATTGCCATGCATGTAATTATTCATATATATACATGGTGTTTCATTCATCTACATAGTGGGGATTTTTTGTGTGTGTTTCATACTTTCCTTCATTGACATTATGCTTTATACAGTCATTCAAAAAGCACCATTTTAAGCTGAGCCCCTCACACAGTATTATTCTCTTCTAGGAGAAGAGAGTGACCATTTGTTCCTGGTCTCTTCCCCACTTAACCTGACCTGTGTCCCTTCCTTGCCCACTGCCTCATCTTATTCTTGCTGTACCCTCCATTGTAGTGATATGGCCATACTGATGTCAAGTAATTTCTGATTGAAATTACTGAATAATATGTTAACAGAAAGTCTTTCTGTTGCCATATACCCAGGCATTTTCTAACTAGACCAAGAGGTAGCTCCTGTGGATAGAAGAGAGATGGTTTTAAATCTAAAAAAGGAGAATAGATTTATTTGGAATCATGGTACCTTTGATAGCATGAGATACAGTTTTTTAAATACAAA